ATATGTATAAAAAAGTCATATGATCATAATTAATAGTGCAAAATTAACTATCTTTGACTTTCCATTTGGTAGTAATAATAAAATATTTTATATTACTATTATTCAATAAAAATGCCTGAATTCTGCAGATTTGATTATCGCAATCAACATTTTGTTTTATAAATTAAAAAGTGTGCGGAATAAATTGTCTCATATTTTTCATTAAAAAAAAAACTGTTAGCCGTGAAAAAAAAATTATTTCACAATTATTAATATAAATATGATTAATTTTCATTAGACAATTCCTCTTTAAGAAAAAAGTGGCGGGACAAATTTCTGCATGATTATAACATCAAAACATATCCAAAACATCAATATTTTAAGGCACTAAAACCATACTTTCAGCAACAGAAAAGTCATATTAAACGGAAATTGGCAAAGTCAAAGAATGAGGTTTGACAAGGCATTATATGTAATGACATATTGTTGTATAATATAGAATCATCAAGCATAATTAATAATCAACAAAAAAAGTCAAATCTATATGAAAAAAAAATCAAAATTAAAAACACAACAAATTATGTGGAACATTATTGGACACTATACAATATAGAAAGAAAAATAATTTGATTTCCCTATCATTATCAACGCATTCAACTTTTACCAAGACATCTGCCTTTATATTAAAATCGATTTTTTGCGTAAAAGTTTTAAAAATAAAAATCCCTACAGATTCTTTTAAACATTAAACAATAAGTTTCTAATATGCGATAAATATATGTAAACATATTTGTTATAAACGTACCTAATATTTCTAAATTTTGAACAAAATACTAAAAACTTTGAAAAACTTCGGTAAAAGACTTTGAACAACTTCGAAAAGCGATTTTGAACAAGTGTTAAGCAAAGCTTCACTTACTGATATGATGAGAAAGATGAGAAAGAATTGAACTATTTAGTGTTCAAAATCTGAACAAAATACATAAAAGTTACATATGTATGTTATAAACATATATGAACATATATGTTATAAACTTACCTATATATTTGTTAGTAGAGCTGAACATATCTGTTAGAAACTTACCTATTTTTCAAACCTGAACAAAATACATAAAAGTTTGAAAATGTTCGACCAATGTCATGTTCTCTTCAAAAAACGATTTTGAAAAACATCTAGATAATTTCGAATTATGTATAAAATATGATATATTTTTGAAGTTTATTCAAAAAAAATTTCGAAAAACGACAAAGATCATTGAAAATAATAAAAAATAAAAACTATGTTTAACAAAAATATTTCAGCTCTTCATAGATTTGTAATATTATCGCCCGATTTTGACCGACCTGTTAAGATTTAGCAACAAAGATTAAGAAATCGGGACGAATATTTATTTTTCGA